GAACCTTATTAAACCACTTAAATTCACCTCTGCCAACTCGTCTCAGCATTCGGGTCCTCCAAACCAACACCGCCTCATGACAATTATTACAGTAGCAGCCATTCAGAATGGCCCTTCCCAGTCAAACACCAGCTGAATGGCAGCCTACTTCCCTGCAACTCCCAGCAAAATCCCTTCCAACTTCCAGCAACTGGAGTGATCCCCTCCTTCTCCTGGGCGTGCATATTGTTTTTACTGTGACTCCACAGTTTCACTAAATTACAGGGAAATATTGTTTCTCTTTTTATCTTAATGTCCACAAATCTTGACAGAAAGAATATTTTAGTACAAAAATTTATCTTTAAAAGGGAATTGTAGGGGATCAGCCAGGGCCCCATCAAGGAAAGTGGGGAAATTTTGAATGGCTACAACTGTATGCAGATCGTATTTTAATGTCTAACTCACACAAATGCATGGATGGAGGATATGAAAATGTAAAAGTTTATGCTGTGTAAAGTGATTTTCCTAATTTGAAACTCAACACCAGCTTTAGTTTTTGTGTCTTCTGAAAGTACGTCTCAAAGTCAAAAAGTAACGAGCAAAGATTGCTGCAGTCATTGTTGCCACAAAGGAGGCATTGGAACAATGACAGATGATGGAGAGAGATATTCTTTGCACATCTAAACATATTTGACTTGCATCCAAATGATTTATTTCCATTGGTAGAGATGGTGACGGTTTAAGAATTTCACTATTTCACTATGTTTTTGTCCAGTTTGTAGGGCCTATGAGTTCCCATGTACCAGCGGGGCGCAGTGTGTGCCTCAGGCATGGCGTTGTGATGGGGAAACAGACTGCATGGATGCCAGTGACGAGCAGCAGTGCGCTGCTCCCTGTGGACCAGGCCAGGTGCCCTGCCTCAGTGGGGATCAGTGTGTGGATTACTATCAACTCTGTGATGGTACTCCACACTGCAGAGATGCATCCGACGAGAGCTTCAACACCTGTGGTGAGTGCTTTATTAAAGGACATAGCTAAAAGCTTAACTCCTCCCAGCCAATAGGGGGCTCTCTCCTGCTCGGCAGCTCTAATTTCAAACTTCAATTGTTCTGTTTGCCAGCTGGTTGTGAGGTCTGCCAATGCAAATACTATTCTTTTGGTTTGCTATTGAAAAGCTTTGGGTTAAGGTCAGGGGCAGATTTTACTTTTCATGCTGTCTCAAAAGGAATGAAAGATTTTTTCCAAGCACTAAGCTCCTTTCCAAAAAGTCCTTCTTTTCACTGCAGACAAG